CTAATATGTAAATATGCAAAATATATGCTAATAAGTAAATATGCAAATCATATGCTAATAAGTAAATATGCAAATCGTATGGTAATAAGTAAATATGCAAATTGTATGCTAATACATAAATATGCAAAATGGATGGTAATACGTATTTATGCAAAATGGATGCTAATACGTAAATATGCAAAATGGATGCTAATACATAAATATGCAAAATGGATGCTAATAAGTAAATATGCAAATCATATGCTAATAAGTAAATATGCAAATCGTATGCCAATAAGTAAATATGCAAAATAGATGCTAATACGTAAATATGCAAAATGGATGCTAATACGTAAATATGCTAATACGTAAATATGCTAATACGTAAATATGCAAAATGGATGCTAATACGTAAATATGCAAAATGAATGCTAATACGTAAATATGCAAAATGAATGCTAATACGTAAATATGCAAAATGAATGCTAATACGTAAATATGCAAATCGTATGCTAAAAAGTAAATATGCAAATCGTATGCTAAAAAGTAAATATGCAAATTGTATGCTAATACGTATTAATGCAAAATGGATGCTAATACGTAAATATGCAAAATGATGCTAATAAGTAAATATGCAAATTGTATACTAATAAATAAATATGCACTAAGAGGTTAACCCTTCGTGAGATCTAATTTGCTTCTGTCAACAACTGTGATGCAACAATTTTCAATAATTTTTTTCTAGAATTTCTTTGTTAATTTTCGGCTATATTGACACAAGAATTCACTGATGCAGTTCTTGCTGAAAATTTAAAAAAAAAATGAAAGTTAATTTGTGTGATTACAGTTGAATTTTGTATTCAAAGATTTAATAAATACACAACAATATTTCTATTCAGGCTCCATTCTCGTTTTGTGTAGTTATTGCACATATTTGATAACAGTAGCTGTCAGAAAATTAAATTAAAAAACCTGCTGTCTGATGTGTTACTTTTATCTGTTATTGACGACTAACATAATGCAAACATTTTGACAAATTAGCAATTTAATTCTGATTGATTATTAATAGTTCAGATGCAAGGGCCAACCCCTACAATAGTTTGCCCTGTAACATGAATAACTTTTACCACTGTGGATGAAACTGACATTTTGTGTGCCTGATAACTCAAGAAAAAAATGTATACATTATTCAGAGCAGTAAAGCTGGAGTGACATAAAATATGTATTAATTTCATAATTATTCATTGAATATTTGATTTGCTTGAATAACTGTATTTGGTTCAACTAATGTTTGTTCTCCCAAACCACCTGTCAATCAATGGTGAAGCTTTCTTAAAAAAAATGTTGTGCTGTTTAAAATATTTTTTTTTTACTTTGCCCTTATCAAAGAATAAAATGAAACCATATTAAGGGCAAAATGTCCGCGTCGTCGCCGTTGTCGTTGTTGTTGTCATTGTCGTTGTCATGGTTAATAATTGTTAATGTGTGCACAATAATTTTACTAATTCTATTCCAGACTTTATCAAACTTGGTCACCTAATTCATCAGTATAAAATCTTCCCTTAGTTCGAACGACAGATGTCAAGTGTGAAAATATCATGCAAAAATTGAGAAAGTATAAAACACATTTTGACTGTTTCTATTTGACTGATCACTGGTGATACACATTCAAAGGTCACTGGTCCCAGTGGGAATATGCATTGTTGTGTGTGTTCAATGAAGTAAATCATTTATCTTGTAATATTATCATTGGGAATGTATCTCTCAAATCCCATGGGAATACAAGACTGGGTTTCAATGCCCACTCATGGAGAGAGTTGTTGCACAGTCTAAACAGTCAAACCTACCAATAAAATGTTAACAGAAAACAAGATGTCAGATAATCAATATAAACACTCCTATGAATTGGGTGCCAAACTTTTGATCAAGATCTGAAGCCAATAGAATACTACTTCTGTTTAGTCCAAAGTTATCAAAACAAAAACAATGCAAAAATACATAAAAAGCAATACCGGTACGTTGCATCCACATTTTGAAAGGAAAATTTTACTCAAAAACATTTATTATGTATTTGACAGATTATTTGTGTTGAAGTATGTAAATTTTGAAAATCAAAATTCACAGGAATTTGTTTCAGCTATTGTAACAAAATTATAGATATTTTATAATACAAATTTAAAAACACTCTTCACAGATCGCAGTGTTTGAGGATGTAGATTCTCGGGAGACAACAGTACTGTTGATAACATGATAGTTATTCCTAGAGGGCGTTTTTTTTTACTTTTTAAATAATACAGTAGTCACACAATGAATATAATAAGGCAGTTCATATTTGTCTCAGTGAATCATTAATTTTTGACAGATACCTATACAAAATACTAGGGCAAAAGCCAGCTAAGATTTGCCGTTATCTTGCATGTTTTAAGATTCCATTCACGTCTAAATGCAGCACTTTTTTTCTGAGATGATTTATACTAAAATATCTGAATTACTTTGAATAAAGCTGGAAATTATGTCCCTTAAAATAATTAAACAAATGTTTAGGGCACCAATGTTTTTTTGGTAGACTGCTTTCCCACTGCTGTTTCAATCCTAAAACTTGTTTGTATTCAAAATTAATTATGACAATGCATAATCATATTAAAACAAATTATGATAAAGGAAATAATATCTTATCATATGAGTGATTGTCTGCTGGCATCCGTCATCCATGTAAACTTTTTACTTTTTCAACTTCTTCTTGGAAACTACAAGTCTGAATGCTTTGACACTTGGTGTATATGTACCTTGCATAGACCTCTCTTAGATTTGTTCATTTCATGATGATATCTTCAATTCTCTAATTTTGGTGAATATTTTTGGTAAAAAGTGATATTTACGACTCTTTGTCGAAAACAGCAAGTTTGATTGCCTTGATACTACATATATAGGTACTATTTGTGGACCTCTCTGAGATTTGTTCATTTTGTGGTGATATCTTTATTTCTCTAATTTTGATGAATATTTTTGTAATTTGTGGTAAAAAGTGATATTTTCGACTTCTTTCTGAAAACCATAAAGTCTGATTGCTTTGCTATTATATATTTAGGTACTACAGGTATACCTCTCTGAGATTTGTTCATTTGATGACAATTTCTCTAATTCTCTAATTTTAATGATTATTTTTGTCATTTTTGGTAAAAAGTAATATTTTCCAATTCTTGTTGAAAACAGCAAGTCCGATTGCTTTGATATTATAAATATTGTTCATTTTCTTATATCTTCAGTTCTTTAATTGAAATGTGTATTGCTAACAGTAGAGCTATCTTAGCCGACAGGCTGCTTTTTTTTAACAATATGCTCATAAGTATATGCTAATGAGTAAATATGCAAATTTAATGCTAATAAGTAAATATGCAAATTGTATGCTAATAAGTATATATATATATGTTGATGATAAGAGGTTCATCCTTTCTGAGGTATAAATTCATTTATTCAATTTTACTTTAATTTCTTTTTTAAAATTTGAATGAATTGGACATAATTTATACTATTCTAAAATGTTTATTTTGTGGAAAAAAAAGTACAGCTTTATTTTATGGAAAATAACACTGCATCAGACGTAATTTATAATTATTGGACTGTGCTCCTTGTCTGCATGGTTTTCCCATGAGATACTATGCAGACCCTGCATAATTTAACAGATGTATTTTGCTGTATGCAATGAACTATTGTATCTTGACAAGATCCTATTTATCAAGTTTTCAACCATTCAAATCATAATTGATTAGAAATAATAAATTAACAAATAATTATAGAAAATTGCAATTATTGGAATTGTTGTCTATAAATACCAGCCTTTAAATAGTTTATTTTTTTTAAAGATCAATGATGCTACATACATGGTTCTGTAAACTTTATATCGAAAGATAACATCGGATCCATACTGTTAGTACAGAGCTTAAATACTAATGTATTGCAATGTTTGTCCATGCTTTTATCAGTCTGCCAGTGTGTCTACTAACTTGTATGCATCAACTGTAAACCGATAGAAAGTTGCATGTTTCCTCGTTTCTGTGGCATTTGTGAAGACACCTGTCGTATGACCCCGGAGACATTTTCGCTTTTAGAATATTTCACAACTTTCACTGATTCACAAAAACTTGCCACTTGCAGATTTACAATGTCCACAGATGGTTCCATTAAAACTACTTAAAATTGAAAAAAAAAAATTAAGAATAAATTTTGAGTGTGTTAATTAATTGTGCATTACTTTAGAAATGTAAAAATTCTAACATTCAGTTCAGTTAAATTGTATCGATAGGACATTGTGATGAAATTGAGATTATGAATGGTGTCACAAAGGATTACATGCATATATTATACCCCAATATTTTTCGTTATTCAGCTTGGGAAAAGTGATGTAATTGCCTTACAAGTCAGACTCATAGTAATTCGGCTCTAATATCAAAAGTATTTTTTCCTCAACTGAATGAAAAAAAAAGAAATATTGAGAATAATATTATTATCCCATTCACAGGCCAAGTTGTCGATTTCTTGAAATGAATTTCAAATTATTTATTTTCTTATCTTTCTTTGTGAATGTTTTGAAGAATATACATGTATTAATTCATGCACTGAACAGTCACTCTCCGGGCTTAAGGTTCTAGATTCAAACCCTTTTTGAGCCTGGTCAGTGTCGCTAAATTTGTGATCTCTGACCGTTTTGTGGAAATAAATGATGGGGATTTCATTTGGATGGTAATATAATATTCAGAACTTGGTATAGATTTTCGTTTTAAGGATACCTTTGTGGAATTGATTTTTGCCAGACATTGAAAAATAATAAGGACAATTTAGATCATGAACAAAACCATATATGTCCTGGTGAACAAACATGCCATTTGAGCTTAAGCCTGTCTCTAGTGGCACGCATGTTTCCTCATTCAATTATTAATAAACTGATGTGGGTGTAACGAACATTATTGAGTATGTTGTGTATTTTCTAAAATTCCTACTCATTCTAATATTGTATTTTACAGCAAAACTACACAGATGATGATGAGCCAATTGAAATCATGTCAAGAGAAGATAGAGGTGAAAAAAATGTTTTTTTTGATGATGGAAAACGAAGAATTGGTGAGAAAAAACATTTGCTGTTATTTGGTTGACCCTCAGTTGATACATTGTTTATTAGAAAGTTGTGCCTTGCACATGCTACTTCTTTCTAAATGTGCAACACATACTTAATTTGTACCTGCACATGGTTGATCTCACTACATATACTTATCTCAGAACTCGCATGCTTAATAAGCATTCAGCTCTTCCACAACCATAAATTTATGCGTGCTTAGCACATTCAAATATTTCACATTTCTCACATGCTATTGACATCATGCCCAGGTACATGAGCATGTTGGAATACCATGTACATGCCAAAGCTGCATGCCATTCCGCATGGTTCATGGTGGCATGCAAGTTTTTACAGTGACAGCCTCTATACTGTTATAAGTAGAATAGTGCAAATTTCTACATGAAGACATTCTGGTTTATGCTCAAATGCCAAAATTAGACAAACCCTTCCTTCAAAATGTTTATAATATTAACAACGTTCAATTTAAACCTGCCAATTCTTAGAAAATTTCAGAGATTTCCTGTTTAATCATTTGAATTGCAAATTTAATTTCTGTCACCGACCATTGATTCAGAAAAATATGTCATGGTTGGTGAGATCCAAGCAAAAAATGTGACTTTTTAGGAAAGACGCTAAAAACTTTTGTTTAGACAGCATGCTGCTCAATTGGAAATTTACGATCAAAATGATGGATTGTTTACATTATGGGAAATTTTTTAAAGCAGTATGTGCCAAGAAACGCGTAAAGTCACAAGTTGACACCTTGAGCTGAATCCTCAACACCTTTTGCAGTGGTTGTTAAATGCTGATGGCATTGACACAGTTTAAAGAAACACTGGCACCAATTGTCTCACGACGTCTGTTTAACGGCTAATTAAATGCATGTAGTAACTATTCATTAGATATTTCCTTTCAAAATTACCACTTAAAAAACAATAAAATTCGTTGGGAGCCATCCCATTACCTGTCAATATTGTGACCTACTGAGTCAGGAGTCAATGTATAATTTATCATATTTTTTTATCAAGATTGGTAACCAATAGAAAACTATAGAAAAATACCTTATTAAAATATAGCGCCAAGATTTTTAAAGGAAAACTATTGTTGGTTCCAACATTGATGAAGAATTAAATACTGTTGACATTAATACATAAAAAAAATATGATGTTGTTGAAAGAATAATGAATATTAATAATAGTATTCATTATGACCATAAAGAAATTACATTATTTTCTCCTTTGGTTTGTTAATAATGACATTTTTTTTGCTTTGTTTTTATTATATTGTTACATTTGTTTATATTATATAATACCAAGTGGTTAAAGCAGTGCTGGACTCTCAACCATTTCACCACCAGAATTTGAATCAATTTTCAGTTTTTAATCAAAAAATCTGGCTTTTTTGTCCCAATCTTCTGAAGGAAAGTGCAGACTATAAATGGGACTATTTTGTGAATTTGTGGTGAAAAGGTTGATAAAAGCAGTATTGATGTATCTGATATCATGTTTAAGTAGAGATTGCTCTGTAATGTTTATTCCATTTTCAAATATTATTTTCTGTGAATCACAGATTTCGTTCTTGTGTACGAGGAAGAACATCTGACAGAAAAACAACGAAGAAAGAGAGAAGAGAAAGACAGAGAAAGGAGAGAGAAAGGCAAAAAAGTTGTTGACACTGATGAACAGCATGATCAATGGCGACACAAATTCTTGGATAACCTGAAGAAGATTGGGTTAGACCTGGAGGAAGATATAATCGAAGGCGACAAAAAGACCATATTTTATGTAAAGTTACATGCACCATGGGATTTGTGTTGTTTTTTTGCTGAGGAGCTGAATTTCAGAGCGCCATTGCAGGTAAGGATATAAATTAGATGCAGTGCCTTTAATAGTAAAGCAGGTGTTTACTGGACCCACAGGGCTTTCCAGGAAGTAATGGCAGCTCATATTTCTTATATCTCAGTATGTCTTGACCTGAAATAGGTGGGGTGCTGAAGCAATTTATAGAGATATATAATGCTATCTAATATAAATACACATTTTAAAATCATGTAATTTTATTGTTGAAGGGGCATCCATGTTTCCCCATTTGGTAAAGGTAATCTGAACTCGGCATTTAAATAAGTAAATTAAGGTAGAAGCCTACTTGTAATTTTTTGTGAAAATTGGTCATAAATTGGTTTATTATGTGCAACCATGGACCAATTGTTCCATGGCTCAGAAAAATAACAATTTTGTGTGTGTTACAGTGACATGTTTTGAGAAACCTGTCCTAATATTTTTCAAAAATTGCTATTTTTAGAACAATTCCATAGAACACAATGTTAAAAATTGCATTTTTCAATACTTTTTAAAAGCCCGATTTTTAAAATAATTCAGTACAACAAAATGTACCCCATCATTAACAATATATGATTTTTTCCAACCCATGTCACCAGTCTACAATTTAAGATATGGCATAATATGTCTGCCAGAGGAGCTTGTGGTAAAAGCAATATAGTGCTGCCAAAATGGCCACTATACACTAAAATACATCATTCTCTTGAAAATTAGGTTGTTGTGACCCCCAACTTTTTTTTTTAAGTCAATATCCTCATTGCTTTGAAGTACAATTTTTGATTAAATAAATAAGTAGGCTTCTACCTTAAAATATGAAAAAAATTATTTGTTCAAAATGGGAATATGGGGCAGTTATGCTACCATGTGCACACAGAATATATGCTTCCACTTGGAGGTGTTATGCTGTGACATGGGAGCAGTATGCTGCCTCATGGAGCAGAATATAGGGATGCTATACTATCTCAAGGAAGTGTTATGCCGCCCATCATTGAAGCGCTATACTATACTGAAAAACATGTCTTTTTCACTAGCATGTCATTTTAGCTAATTTAGCTAAATTTTGCTAAATTAAGATGTCGCTAATTTAGAATAAAGTATATTCTCACAATGAGATTGTTGGCACTTTAGCTAAATTAAGATTCTGTTAATTTCATGCATTGAGTCAAATTCGCAGGAAAGTGATATGTTGCCTAATGGAGGCGCTGTGCTACCTCAAGGAGGCACTATGCTGTCACATGGAAGTTGTGTGCTGTCACATGGGGCAAAAGATTGCCTTAATGGGGGTGCTATGTTACCTCAAGGAGGTGCTATGCTGTCACATGGCAGTTGTATGCTGTCACATGGGGCAAAAGATTGCCTAAATGGAGGCGCTATGTTACCTCAAGGAGGTGCTATGCTGTCACATGGCAGTTGTATGCTGTCACATGGGGCAAAAGATTGCCTTAATGGAGGTGCTATATTATCTCAAGGAGGTGCTATGCTGTCACATGGAAGTTGTGTGCTGTCACATGGGGCAAAAGATTGCCTAAATGGAGGTGCTATGTTACCTCAAGGAGGTGCTATGCTGTCACATATGGAAGTTGTGTGCTGTCACATGGGGCAAAAGATTGCCTAAATGGAGGCGCTATGTTACCTCAAGGAGGTGCTATGCTGTCACATATGGAAGTTGTGTGCTGTCACATGGGGCAAAAGATTGCCTAAATGGAGGCGCTATGTTACCTCAAGGAGGTGCTATGCTGTCACATATGGAAGTTGTGTGCTGTCACATGGGGCAAAAGATTGCCTAAATGGAGGCGCTATGTTACCTCAAGGAGGTGCTATGCTGTCACATATGGAAGTTGTGTGCTGTCACATATGGAAGTTGTGTGCTGTCACATGGGGCAAAAGGTTGCCTAAATGGAG